CCCTCCCAGATGAAAGAGGCCAAGGGACAAAAGGGTTGGTGCAGATAAAACTGGTCCCCTCCAGAAGAAAATGCCTCTGTGAACATTCTTGTCCGTGAAGAAGTGAGCCTAGGACTGCAGCAGCCTGGGACAGATCGCCTCACTGGCTGGAGTGATCTCAGGAGCCCCAGGCTGAGAAGGCACAAGGGGAAGAGCCTCCCACCCGAGTACTGGCAGTCAAAAGATAAAGGTCACCACATGGCTCTTTCTAGACAGATTTTGTAAATGTTCTATGCGGGAAGTGGCACAGGAGGTCTTGGAGTTTAGCTTCTGTGTATCCTGGTGCTGCCGGAGCCTCCCCTGGTGCTGGAGCTGTCACCCCCACGTGTCAGGGTGCTGGTGTGTTTGCTTAGCTTGACGCATGATCTTGGTGCCTTATTTATAGAGTTGCATCTAGGGTCTGAAGGAGGCTGAACAACCTTTTATTTTGTATTTCATTTATTTTGAGTCAGGTTCTCACTCTGTTGCCCAGGCTGAAGTGCAGTGGCACAATCATGGCTCACCACAGCCTCAACTTCCTGGGCTCAGGTGAGCCTTCTGTCTCAGCCTCCCAAAGAGCTGGGACTACAGGTGCACCGCCACTATGCCCGGCTAATTTTTTTTTTGTTTGTTTGTTTTGTTTTTTTTTTTTAGTTGGAGTCTCACTCTGTCACCCAGACTGGAGTGCAATGGCCGCTCCCGGCCACCGCAGCCTCGACCTGCTGGGCTCCAGCGATCCTTCCGCCTCAGCCTTCCAGGTAGCTGGAACTACAGGCACGCGCTACCACGCCCAACTAATTTTTGATTTGTTGTAGAGATGAGGTCTCGTCAAGTTGCCCAGGCGGGTCTCGAACCCGCGGGCTCAGGCAATCCACTCACCTTGGCCTCCCAAAGTGCTGGGATTACAGGCTGAGCCACCGAGCCTGACCTTTTTTTGTTTTTTGTAGAGACGAGGTCTCGCTATGTTGCCTAGGCTGGGCTTGAACTCCTGGACTCAAGCATCCTCCCACCCTGGGATCCCAAAGTGTTGGGATGACAGTCGTGAGCCACCGCACCTGGCCAAAGCTGAGGTTTTTCAACTATGCTTTACTTCAGATGATGGAGGGAACCATATGCTTTCATGGTATTCACAAATATTGAGGTTTGGGATTGAGGTCATTTTTCATGCATTCATTTGGCAAAAAGTATAATGGCAGGTGAACAGTAAACAAGGTGAGCGTGCCCTCACCAAGCCACTGAGGCCCCACAAGCACTGAGCCCATAGCCTTTCCACCCTCAGGCCAACCATTCTTGCCCTGTCTCCCATCCCGGTCCCCTTGCCATTCCTCCTTGTTCTGGCTCTGTCCACCTCAGGGCCTTGGCACCTGCTGTTCCCTTGACCTGGCACAGCCTCCCCACATGGGTGTGCACAGGACTTACTGCGGGCCTCCACTTAGATGCATCTCAGATGATAGCTGTGTCTTCCCCCCACCCCCCTCCCCATCACAGCCAGCCCTTTACCCTGTGCACAGGCCTGATTCATGTCTGTCTCTGCCCTGTGACTGTGAGACCTGGGAGGGCAGGGGTGTTCTTGCTCTACCCACCTCTACCCGGCACCCAGAGCAGTGTTTCTTGCAACCAAAGAGGCTCACAGTCTAGTGTGTGTCTTGAGCCCATGTCATCAAGTGCCTTTGGCCTTGCCGTGCCCCATGTCAGCGTCAGGGCCCAGGAAGTGTCTGTACTCCAGCATGTTCTGGCTGAAGCGCCAAGGTAGCTCAGGCTGCATCCTTCAGCTTCCTCCGGTCCTTTCCTGTGCCCCTAGCTGTTTTGGGGCCTGATTCTTTCTGCACTGAGTGAGGAAGGTCCCAGTGTGGTCCCCCACTTTTTTACCTGCCATGCGTTTCCTGACATAGGAGCCCATCACAGCTGGTTAAGCAAGCTCATGCTGGCCTCGTGATCTGTGTCCATGTTCGTTGCACCTTCTCATCCCTTCAGTTGCAGGACAGTCCAGGCCCCTGATGAGAAGGGCAGACAAGGGAGGGCAGCGCAGGTCTGAGGGCGAACAGAATCCCGGGGTCACAAGTCCAGCAGCTCCTCACTCTTCTGTCCTCAGGAGCAGCACTGCAGCTGATGACCAGAGACATCAAAATCAGAAATGGTGCAGGTGATGCTGAGCTCCCAGGCACCATGCAGTCTCCTCCAGGTGCCCTTGACCCTCCTGCGGAGCAGCCCCTGGGTTCCATGGGACCTCACAGCTTTCCTTTTCTTGAGTCAGGATCTCACTCTGCCACCCAGGCTGGAGTGCAGTGGCATGATCACGGCTCATCACAGCCTCGACCTCCTGGACCCAGGTGATCCTTCCACCTCAGCCTCCTGAGTAGTTGGGATTACAGGTGCATGCTATCATGCCTGGCTAATTAAAAAAATTTTTGTTTTTTTTTTTTTGAGTTGGAGTCTCACTCTGTCGCCCAGACTGGAGTGCAG